CAGGCAGGCAATTGAGTGGTTAGGAGCCAGCAGTCCCAGATTGTGATAGGGGTGTCCGATTAGAGTGGGTACAGGCTGAGCTGTGGGAACTCCCCCTCCATGCACAAATTTTGTGCACTGGGCCTCTAGTTTATCTATAACAGTGATAGCAAACCTATGACACGTGTGTCAGAGGTGACATGCGAAATAATTTTCTTTGGTTGATTTTTCTTTGTTAAATGGCATTTAAATATAGAAAATAAGTATCAAAAATATGTCTTTGTTTTACTATAGTTGCAAATATCAAAAAATTTCTATACCTGACACGGCACCAGAGTTAAGTTAGGGTTTTTCAAAATGCTGACACACCGAGCTCAAAAGGTTCGCCATCACTGATCTATAATAATAAAAGCATAATATGCTAATTAGACTGGAAGTCTTTCCGGACGACCTTCAGGATGAAGCCAGGGTTGTGAGGGCTGAGACAAGCCCATTCGGCTGCCAGGGCCAAGTCCCTTGTATGAATTTTGTGCATCGGGCCTCTAGTAAACTATATAAGCATTGGACACTTCCTGACATTCTTGGAGAAAGTAATCTGATGAAAGACTGAATTTTCTTTAATCAAAAATTCAATTGCATTCTTGTAATTTATACATTAAAAGATTTGAAGACAAATGTACCATACAAGTTTTGAATTGTTAGAAACATTAAAGAACATACAACATTACCTTAAAATAGCAAAATTAAGTGTGAGATATACATTCTATTTCATCTTTTTCTGTGTCCTTAAAAATCACTGCACATATTTTTCCAAGAAAAAATTAAAAACAAAAATATGAGTGCCATCATTTAGAGACTTCAGCAATACCTAATCATCCTCTCCCCTCGCCAGCTTCTCCCTCCTCCAATAGTTGTAGTCACTTTCTGTCTCTGATCAAGGAGGGAGTAAGAATGAGGGTAACTGGAAGAATCTTTCATGTCCAAACTCTTAGAAGGTGTTAGTTTTAGAAAAATGGATTAGACTGAGATGGAGACTCCCACATTTGTTTTCTTTTCTACATGCAATTATGTATTGTGGGAGAGTCAAGGTAGCTGACTAAATTAGAAGTTCATTTAGCTGTATCCATAAATCAGCTTGAATAACCTGACATACATTATAGAATAATCCCAAAAGTAGGCAAAGCTTAGGAACAAATTCAGCAGCTCTCAACTCTGGTTTCATATTAAATTCAACTGGGGGCTTTTAGAAAAATATCAATGACTAGACCCCTGTGATATATATATATATATATATATTGGTTTCTGCTCCCATCCCCATTTTTGGCACAAGGCTCCTAAAAGCCTTAGAAAGTTATAAGTGACATGAGCACCTGCCTGAAGCCCTCTTGTTTATCATCTTTAATTCAAACTAGGCTAGGGTGAACATCCTAAGATCTCCTTCCTGAAGCAGCTTTCTCTGCCTGAATCTCTTGGGTTTTATTCCTGATCAGAGCACATACCCAGGTTTTGGGTTCAATCTCTGATTGGGGCATGTATGGTGGGCAACTGATTGATGTTTCTCTTGCTCTACCTCCCCTTCTCTCTCTAGACTCAATGAAAAACAATATATATCCATAGGTGTGGATGGAACCCAGTACCCTACATTCCATGGGCTGACACTATATCCATTAAGCCAAACCGGCCAGAGCTATTGTTATTATTTTTAATCCTCACCTAAGGAATCAAACCCATGACCGTTTGGTGCATGGGACAACACTCTAACCAACTGAGCCGCACCAGCCAGGGCTAGAACATTGTTTTTACATAAGTATACATTATTACTAACACATTTTACCTAAAATATTTTTATTTTATTTATATCTATTTATTAGTTCTTAACAAACCTATGTGATTTCAAAGTTACTTATCACACAAGCTATTTTCTTGACAAATTATATAACAACTATGAACTTATTTTTGTAAACCCAGGTAAAACAAAAATACTGTATTCAATATTAATAACTAAAATACATGTCTATTTAATTAAACCATCCTTAAATTAGCTTTAATATCAAATTTTACTTTTTAGATTATAGGGTTCTGAAAGATACTTGGGATGGCTTCTATTTTTTAAAAAAATTTTTTTTATTTTTCGTTGTTATTATATCTCTCCCCAGGATATTTTTCCATTGAGTTTTATAAATATTGGGAGGGCCAAGGAGAGACAATGAGAAAGAAACATCCATGTGAGAGAAAGATATCCATTGGTTACCTCCCCCAGGTGCCCAGACAGGGGCCTGGAATCGAGCCTGTAACCAAGGTACATGCCCAATATTGGAATGGAACCCAGGACCTTCAGTCCATGGGCCTACCTCTATCCACTGAGACAAACACAGTAGGGCACTTCTATTTGTTAATTTAGGTAAGTATTTAATTCCTTTAAGCCAATAAATTATTACAACCTAATAATATCATCTGGAGACAGAAAGTACACCATATATAAACACAGATATCACCAACAGATCATACACATAAACAGAATTACAAATAATTGTAGAGAAGACAAGATTTTTCATTTGCCCACAATAACTTTTAAGGAACCTGGAGATGGGAGGGGGGAGTATCAGGCATGAAGATGTTAGCCACTTGTTTTTACTTTTTATCTTTCTTAAATTTATTGAGGTGACATTAGTCAGCATGAACATGTAGGCTTCAGGTGTGGGTTTCTATGTTACAAGATCTCTATATTGCACCATGTCACATACCACTTGTTTTTAAAACTGTCCTTTTTGTTTTTCCGTTGGTTTCCTCAGCCTCAGGCCCTAGTGAGCTGTGTTAACATTTCTGATTACCCAACAGGAAGACCTGTTGAAACTTTCAAATGTTCCTGTTAGCCTTTGAAAAATTAGCTTCCAATTTTGTTAAGTTTCCAGTCAGTTATCAAATCCTTTTAACCTGTTCAATATATTCTCATAATCTTTTTATCTCAATAACCTTTTAAAAATTTCCACCTTATTGAGAAGACTATAACTTTACCTTCTGAATTTGAAAAAAATTATCTTGTTAATTAACCTAATTAGCACCTATATCACCCAAAAAGCTAAATAGATAATTCAAAAGTCTCAAGTTATATTTGTGCATCAATCTTTTTTATTAAAGTGCTAGGCAATTATGCTTCCAATGACCTAATTTTTACAATATCTACAAATTTTTGCAAGTTATTAGGAAGGGGTCTGAGTGGACTTTGATTTTTATTCTAATTTCTGCCCTTCCATCTTATTAAGGGTATCTTAATGGCTAGTTATTATAACAATATGAGAGCTCTATAAAATTTTCTTGGTTATGCTTATATGCATGCATACAAGTCCTTCGGTTGATCTCTTACTCCCCTCCCTTCTGCCCCCCAACCCTCTCTGGCCTTCCCGCTGCAGTTTGACAATCAGTTTGAGGCAGCTCTGCCTCTGTATCTATTATTGTTCAAAAGTTTGTAATGGTCTTTATTATCCATGAATGAGTGAGATCATGTGGTATTTTTCCTTCATTGACTGGCTTATTTCACTTAGCATAATGCTCTCCAGCTCCATCCATGCCGTTGCAAATTGTAAGAGTTCCTTCTTTTTTACAGCAGCATAGTATTCCATCGTGTAGATGTACCACAGTTTTCTAATCCATTCATCTACTGATGGGCACTTAGGCTGTTTCCAGATCTTAGCTATGGTGAATTGTGCTGCTATGAACATATGGGTGCATATATCCTTTCTGATTGGTATTTCTAGCCATAAGTCTTTTACAGCTTAACCAAGGAAGCAGAAAGGCTTACACAAAGAGTGCAAAAGGTGCAGCTCTCATAGCTACACACGTTCACTCTCAGAAAAAGGGCAGACCTCTTCATTACTCAGAAAGTCAGAAAGATGGAGTGTATGCCACAATATGTGAGATGCCTCCAGCCACACCCCGCTCATGTGTGGCACCAGGCAGGTGCTACTGGAATGGGATTTTTTTAGCACAAACAAGCAACAAAAGTTTAGATGACAAATACCCTCTTCCTTTGTTTCTTAATACACATCTTAAAATCACTATCCCAAAAAGGTAGCTTCAGGGTGGCAAAACTTTGATCCCTTTATTAGTAAAAGCTGGAATGGTATAAAAACCAAGATAAATACCAAACTGGTGATGGTATCAATTAGAAACAACCATCCATCACCAGGGAGAATGGGCCCTGGTGAGTACTACAGTCTTTGTCCCTTTGTCTTGTCAATCATTAGTACCTGAATTCTACTATTAAGAAAGTGCTATAACAGGGGCCTGTTAGTGGAGAATAATTTTTGTAAAACTCCTGGGTCCTCTGTCTGCTCTGATTCTCTGTGCCTGTAAGTTAATTGCCCTTTAATAAATTCTGTTCTATCCTATGGAGTTGTCAGCATCATTCTTCAGTCTAAAGATACCTTTCATTATAATGGCCATTACACCTTTGCCATATCGTGAGGCATTTACTATCTGTGCAAGTTACTTAGCTTCACAGATGATCAGTTGCCTCATTAACTACAGGATATTAGATTAATTAAATCTGCTAAACTCTCCTTGGTCTGGCACCCTGCAAATCACCAGCCATACAAAGGTAAAAAGGATTGGTTTCTGTTCTCTAATAGCTTTGAGTTTAATGTAAAAGACAAACAAGAAAACTGTAATTTTCAATAAAGAGTGATTAGTGTTCATTGTCAGGGCAGTTTTAAGACCTAAATAAACAAATATAGATATAAAATGGGCTTAATAAAATTCCTGGTGCATCATAAAGTTAGTTCCATGTCCCCTTGAATAATTATAAACTTTGAGGGAAGTTATTTTATACCTCCAAAACAAGACATTCTCAAATAGCCCACTTTCTAGCTAGCTCCCAACTTCCTGTCTTTCACCCTGGGACAGTGACTTGCAACAGCAGTCCCTCAGTAGATTGTGTTAAATGTTAATGTTGCAAACATTGCTTAACCGCCAGGATTAGGGTTCTTTTGAACTAGTTTCTCCACCCAGTTCATTTGATCACTATATAATTAGAACCAGAAGGAACCAGTGCACACAGCTGGAACTCTTCTCCAGGAGCAAAGAGGTGGAAACCATCTTCAGTTGGAGGGACTCTTCCCGATTTGGTAAGATTCTTACCCCTGGGTAATCTATCACTGTACTTTTTAAATATATACATACTTTTTCTAGTCATTTAGCTATTTCAATGAAACAGTTTTTCCCCCTTTAAAGCCTATGTGCCCAACTTATGAACTAAGAAAAGAAGAACAAGATTCTAAAGTTTAAAATGAAAGCAAATTTCTTTTGGGATTGTCTATATGTCGCTGGATGAAGGGAGATTACTGAGACTGGGAGCAAGTGGAGGTTTAGGAGGAATTCCCGAATTGTGATAAAATCCATAAAGTCCTGGGAAAGCCATTAGCTGAAGGGCATCTGGATGCCCCCAGGGAACAGGCATTAAATGCGGCAGAGCAAGAAAATAAACAAAAAGAATGCTTTTAGCTGTTTTCTCCTAATCTCTACAAATTTTTTACTTAAAAAAAGTTTTGGTTGCTCTTTAAGAGCCAAGTGGAACACGTCCAAGAAGGTTCACTGGCAGGTTGAAGGGACGAAAGAAGGAAAAGAGATAAAGGGAGGAATATGCCTTGAGAGTTATGCTTTCACTTTGTGGGATATTGCCCTAGAATATATAAAAGTGTGAAGTTACATGTATGGAAATTAAAACCATAGTTACCTGTCATAGAGTGTAAGTTAAGTCCCTGGTGTGTAAAGTTGGACGAACCTCTTGAATACAAAACATTGCCTGTGGAGAGAAGGAAGAGAATATGAATTCTTGTGAAGATTAAAGGATTGGTTTGAGACAGATGATAAAGTTAGTCTGAAGAACAATGAGGACATATTTCATTGACAAAAAGCTGACTGACACTTATGTTCTTGACTATGGAAGGTTATGTGTGAGTGAGTTTGATGCCCCGATGTGAGGAACCCTTGGCCTAGGCATATTCACCTCAGCACCACAAACAATCTGTCTCATACTTGTTTTCTCCCAAATTTATTTTTCCTCTTTTGGGGAAATTTAGGATTGAATATATGAGTGAGCAAGTTGTGAGTGGGGGAGTAGATATAGATACTGGTGGCCAGGGTGTGTACCATCTGGGCTTTGGTTTCTGGATGTCTTAGGGATTCAAGATTACAATAAGCCTGAGAAAAATTTAGCTAAGTTCTTACAGAATTAATGTGCAAATATTGCATGTTAAAAGCAAAGATTTTCCTTTACCTCTCCAGACAAGGATGTGAGGCCTTCAACCTCCAACCAGCAAGTGGCTTTGTAGGATATGAAGCCCCTGTGTGGCATCAGTCTAGGGCCTTAATTAGAGGTGGTGTGGGCTTTGCTAGTATGCTGAGCCTTAAGAAATGATACATCTCAGTGAAAGTGAATCACAGGTCTTCTTATCATCTATTTCTTTCACAAGGTGCCTTATGCTACCAACTAAACTTATATAAACTTGTCTCTGTAATTCCACTAGACTTTCGCTAATAAAACTAGAAAAGATTCTCCTATGCTTAATGAGAACCATGGAATTTCAGACTTTACAGTTAGCAACTCTCTCATTCTATAGATAAACAAACTTAAGCCTGGAAAGAAAAATTAAGTCAATCACTAAAAAAAAAATTAAAAAATATTGAGGGTCTACTGTGAGGCAGGCACTGTGATTCAAGGTGAATAATATGGGCTCTGCCCTCCTGTAGAGTGTACACCAGTAGGAAACACTGACAAGGAGACAGGTGATTGGATAACAGCTTGGAAATGGCACCTGTGGAAATTGGCAAATCACATCTTTATTTTGTGATTTCCTTGTGAGCAGATCCTGAGCTTTATGACTGTTGCTTTGACACTTGTATCTAATGGGGTGTCCTTGGTCTCAATATCTAAGCAACGAGTGTTCGGACAGACACTAGACAGGCCCAGCAGCTCAGATCCCATTCTTTGAACAACAATATCCCCACAGCCTGTACAATACTGGCACATCTTACAAGGAAACCTGGTTTTCACTACAGCTTGCAAGACATTGGCAACATTTCTATCCACGACTGCCACCTAAGGACTCTTTCGGCTACTACAGCTCTGGTTCTATTTCCTGATTTTGAACTCTGGGATTCTGGCCCCAGGCAGAGAGGTGTTGACTTGGTGACCCTGAGGTCCTGTTCCATCTTGGGAGCCTGAGATTCTGTAACTGCCTTTGATGTTCGAAGGCAATATTTGTCTATTGAAGAGCAAGAGACCTAAATAAATCCAAATCAATAAACCTTTGATGAGGTCTTCCACAAAACTAGAAAAAGAAAACACCCAGAACACTAAAAAGCAAATGTAAATGTAAAGAGTTTGGCAAATGGGAAACATGGCAGGTGAGCAGCTGTGCTGAAGCAGTGGCCATGTATGAATGCTTGTTATTATTTTAGGGCTGGCTCTTCTCTCTTCAGTCATGAACCACATTTTTACTCAAGTTCCAAGAACAGGCTTTCACTTGATTCTATTATCAATTATAATTGATGTTTTGAATGGGATTTTTTTCAGCTGTTATTTATTTCAATATTGTGGAATAACCAAAATTTTTCTTAGTTTTTAATTTGGTATTCTTCAACAGTGTGCCAAATTTGTGTATTGCTATTATGAATCAGACAAGGTGTATCAATGCCAAATGATGATGAGAAAGAGTGTTC